GGGGGGCGGGGAAATGGGGAGCAGCGACCCCGCCGGGGGGGCCAGTAGCTGTTAAGGTGTGCGTGGGGTGGCCTTTCTGCCATTCCCTCGGGCTCCCCCTCTGCAGGCGGGACCATGTGGAGGATACACACAGACTGTACCTGCCTCTTGGCTTGACTTTCCCACGTCGTTGCACAAATATCCCTGCTTTAAACTAATGCAGGGGAGGGCTTGGGTTGAAGCTCGCTTGTGGGGAGTGGGAATGAAGTCCGCTTAAGGTGCGGGGTCTGGAACTGGCCCCCTCATTCATTGCTATCTCTGTTTTTGTTACAGCCTGTGCTATTTGTGCAGAGTCACTCCCTGCCTGAGTGACTCTCTTTTTAGGGCTGAAGGGGGAGGTCTCAGAGCTGCTTGTGGGCTTTACTCCAGCAACGGAGTGTATGAGGAACAGGGATTGGCATTATTTGTCTCTGGGGCTGTGGGCAGGAGCTTTAGTTTAGGTGAGCTCCCTAATTTTACACTGCTGTGTTCCATAAATGCCCATCAGTCTCCTGATTGCAGAGATTCCTGGGGGACCTTGCAGCCTGTGCTGCAAATTGGGAGGGATTTTGCAAGATAAGGAGCAAAAAAATAAAAAAAAATCTGGACTTGGAAGCTGCCCACCTTCCTACAAAGAACACTAAAACCCTCCCTAAAAATGATCTGTAGCTATTTTCTTTTTCCTCTGTAAGGAATAATGGCAGCATTGGAAAATATCCATGAATATAACAGGGCAAATGTGCTTGAATGATGGAAACAAGCTACAGCAGCGATGTATAGACTAACATATTTTTCTATGAATTGGTGATTGGGGAGGATGGTGTTTGTAAACTAAAAGTGAGGGGGAATAGCTGCTTCTGAACAGGCAGTTCAAGGCAGGAATTAAATGAATTCACTAAATGAATGAGAGAACAGGAAATGGACTTGGCAAGTGCTCTTGTCTTTGCACTGTCTCTGTCAAATTAGCATCCATTTCAAAATGTCAGTTGTCTGTCACAGTGCAGGTTTATTGACTTTAAATGTTCTCTACAGCATTTTTTGACTTTATTACATGCCACTCCCCCGTCTACTTGTGTTGAAACTTGTATTTTGTTTTCCCTTACTGAGCTTTAGAAACTCTATTTACTATTAATATTGTGCCTTCTTTTGAGATGCTGTTTATTGTTTAAAATGGGAAGGATGGGTCAGAAACTAACAAACTTCATTTAGAGGCTATCTCTTTTCCTTCTTGCTTAACAATAGGGGAGCAAACCCTTTCTATCCCAACCAGTTCCTCATGGTTTGTGTTCATGAACACTTGAACATAATACTGAGGCAGGAAGTGGGAACTAGCTGGTATGGACAAAAATTATGATTAAACATGACTTTCCCTAAATTAGGGATACTTATAAGCATGCCTCTATATGTAGCATCTTGTCTGCTGTTACTTAACTATTTGAGCAAGCTAAGCTAGAAGGTCCTCCTGAATGGCTTACTTTTTTTTTTTAGTTCAGGAGGAGAGTGTTTAAAATTTGTGCAAGCACACTTGTCTCAAATTACCTCTCCTTCCTGTCTGACTCTGGCTCCCTTTCTGTTATTGCCAGCCCTTTTTAGATAACCAATTGTTGCTGTGGGGACAGGATTAAGTGCAAACAATACTAAATTGTTTCTGAATAATCAACCATTTAAACTTTGAAGTGCATTGTAGGTGTAACTTCATATATGGTTTATAAAGGGGAAGTGGTTGTTAGAGAGGTGTTAATTTGAAAGTCAAAGCTTACTGAGTAGCATTTTAAATATTTGAAGTAAAATTGGCTATTAAAAGGGTCAATTTCATTGGAGAAAATGAAGCCTCTGCTCCTATTTTGTTAACTGCACTCAAAACTGGATTAAAATCCTTTTGCCAAGTTTGATCCTGAACATGCATAAATTTACAAATTCTGGAGAAAAGTGAGGGGGGCTAGTCAATTCATTAACTGTCCCCTAATGCCAAAACAAAATGTGTGAAAGACTTGTGGCAGTGGATATTAGGACATGGTGTAAAATACTATTTTGTTAGCTTATTGAATTTTTTTAATTGTAGAGGGTTGTTGTATAGTACTGAACTTTCTTCCAGCCTATCATAAAAAAAAAACACTATCTGTAATTATACATTTTACTTTGCATTATTGCTAGATGTTTCTGACTTCTTACACTTGGCCATTTAAATGATTAATGTTACACTTCAGGCATGAGTAATTCTAAAATGACTAAACCATACTTAATGTTAGCAAAACATAGCTTTAACTTGCCTCAGTGCATTTCTAATACTGTATGGAGTTCGTCTATATAACAGTAATCCTGCTTAAAGAAAACATTTTTCTTGAATAGTGATGAAATATAGGTGAAAAGCTCTCTAGGGAAACTTGAAATATTACCAGCTGTAAGAGATGGTGTAAACTAGGTAATCAAAGTTAAAAACATTGAAAAGGGAATTGTATGCATCTAGAAATGGGTAAATGGACCAAGTCAAAAATAATTCAACAATATGCCTGCTGCCTTAGGAGGGTGGGGGAGAAAGACTGACGAGAAGACCTACTAGACTTTTGAACATATGCAGCAGTAGATTCAAGTGGTTATGATGTATCATGGTGGTGTTTTGAATGGACTTCCATATCAAACAATACCTTGCAAGTCATCTTTCTTCAAGAATCGGTGGGGAAGGCTTCTTAAATTCCTCAAAATAACATCTTCCAACCTCATTTGTGATCTCCCTCCTGAACTGCTTTCTTCACCTTTAGGTCTATTAAACTTTCTATAAAGGCATATCTACCACCTTCTGCACATTAGACATGACCTCACTATTGTGATTCTTATTCTCAACTAGTGTAAAACTGCAACTTGTTGGATTGTCGAAATATCTTCTCACTTGTGATGAAATCAAACTTATCGGATTTCTCTAACTTTTGATGCTGAGAACAGTTTGATTTCCTCTTCTGAGCTGTTAACTTGCCATGTTTCTGCTCCATGTAAGTTGTCATCACTCCTGCATTGAACACTCAAATCTTAGTTGTCACATAGATATCCTACTGCCCAAACAGGCCTCTGAAGATGCCAAAATGCCATTGACACAGTAATAATCTGCTGTGTGACATCTTTGGTTGACAGCAGGAGGTTCTGTATCCCATTACCCAGATGTATCTCATAGATGTATATAATGCACCTAAAGCAATCTAATGGAGGATTCTAGTGATCATTCAGACAATAGTTAATATTGCTTGACAGCCTACATTGGTCTAAAACCCTATGTGAATGCTGAACTACCAACACAATGCAAACTAAATGTGAAAGATATCTATAGTTCACAAGTGTAGTTCCCACAATGTAGTATAAACTGACACGGAATCATGAGGGAGTGAATGCAATGAAGGAAAATAATCAATATTTAGTGAATTAATGGTATGATCAGTGCAGTAAAAAACTTGAGCTCTGTTTCAAGGAGTTAACTGTCTGAACAAATTAACTGATCATCCTATAAACTTGTTTTCAATGTAAAGCCATTTTAGTGAATAGTGAAAACTGGCGAAGGTTGTCTCAGAACAACCTTCTAATCAAATCAGTAGTACTTCAGAGTTTGCTCCCCATGATCATCTGGTTTAGCCCTCTGTTACTCTGCAGCAGAATACTATGCTCCATTCTGGCTTCATTATCACATGTCAAGTTGTTTGGCACACAACTGTTCTTAACCATGTGCATTGTAACTGGGATGATTCAACCCACACCAGTACCTGGCTCCCTGTGTTAAGCAGCATCACTCCTCCGTACATCTGTTGTGAGGCTGCTACAGCCAGAATGGTTGAGGAGATCAGGCCCCAAGCCTACCACTATACAGACCTCTTTGATCACCCAAGACCACTTTTGCCCTACCCAGCTCTCTGCGATATAGATGTCATGAAGAATGGTTTGCATCTGGTGTCAGAAACCTCTTTTATAGCTGACCCAACCATGCATATACCCATCTTTGATTTGCCATGCTACTCGTGGACCCTTCAGTTTTGAAGAGGGCAGGGTCAATGTGCAGCAGGCCTTCACACCTGAGGCCAGTGAGAGGCTCCCACATGTCAGTGTGGTCAAAGATCACACTGACAACTGCCCTTGAGCAGATTTGATGGTGGTCTGAGAGCTCTGTATTTAGGTGATGGGGCTGCCACAAATTGGCTTGGCAAGCTGAGTGTCTGCTAAGGAAGGCGTGGATAGTAGCTTAAGTTTAACTTTAGATCTGTCAACCTATTGGCTAGTAACGAATCTTTTTCTACTAGAGAACTGAACCTAATCTTATACATGAGCTTTTTGGGACTCTTACACTGGAGGATCTTGACACATACCATTATAAGATTCTGAAGTTCCCCTGTTCTCATTATAAAGCAGAATAGTACACCAACGTGCCTGCACACTTTTCTAAACAAATAGGCTAAAAATTACAATTATATTGTCTGACCTGAGCCTCTCTGCAGGAATTACTGTCAGAGTTTTGCAACAGGCCTGTGACTCAAGATGAACAGTAGCGGCACTAGACTGAGCAAGGCTT